CATTCGAAAAATTGGTACCCGCCTGCGGGATTCGAACACCGGTGCATCGCAACAACGAATGCACCGGACGTCTTATCCTTTAGGCCACGACGACGACAAAACGCCTTGAGAAAGGCGCAAGAGGCACCGTCGTGAGCGTTAGCAAAAGTCCGCTTTTTCCGGTACCAATCCTAATTACCGTCTCATTACCTCAAGATCTCAAGACCCTTAATCCATTTAATTACAAATATCTTAACGCTTAACAAAACACCATTTCAAGTCTCGACCTCACGATCCCCGACTCCATTAAAGCAGTGAGGATTAAAATTATTACGAAATTTAATTCCTGTTTATCTTCATTAAATAAGGCTCTTAACCGGAGAATTTTAGGAATCGCCGAAGTTTACGTAAATTTAATTCGGACATCGTCACGAACAAACCCACCAGTTAGAAATACTTCGTATTCAGAATAAGCTTAATGTTGCGAAGGGTCTAGTTAATGATGTCACGGATGTAGCTGGTAGACTTTGGAGGAGCAGTGTAAGGATTTTCGTCGATATGGGTATTTTGTAGTTATAGCAGATCCCCAGATCGTAAATGCAGTCATGCTATAAGTCCACTATGCAATGGTTGTACTACCATTCAACATTATGCATTCATGTTCAATTTTATAGAACAAAAACCTTTTTATATTGATTGTTCTGTCATGTTGGCCCAGTTCGGTAGTTGAGCTGCTTAATTAACTTTACGGTTGTCAACTTTAGAAACAATGGAAGCTATGATTATTTTTTTCGAGTAGGACGCCTAACCTCCTACGAGGTCCATGCCTAGGGTGCACATGGGGTGGGATTTGACGGTTTGCAGATATTTTGAGCAGACCGCCGGCCCAAAATCTTGGAAAGCATGAAAGTGAACAGTCAACTATTATTAACATCTATACTATATTTACTACTTTAATATTGTAGTATTATAAAAAAAATCCATTGAAAAAAATATCAATTAAGCTATCATATTACGATACGGTTTAAAAATAATTATGATTTTAGAAAATGTGGTTGCTTTTTTACCGGACATATGAGTAAACGAACTCATGGTCCATTTGGGTTTTAAATGGTTGCCGAAGCTCATAGACTTCACAACGCGAATGCTACCACCACCTACCTTGAAACACGAAATCCAAGATTCAAATATATGTGTAAGATGCTGATAAAAATAATGATCTAAATGGAACTAAAGCCGTATCGTTCAAATGTTGTAATCGAAAACTAGTAAATGTATGAAATTTCTTAAAAGATTTGTTAGTTGGATTCGTACCTTAGACAGACCATACCCGATACGGTGGACCGAATGGTAAACGGTCGATGATGCCTTAAAGACGTCATTACGGATCCTCCCGATCCATTAATGGTGCTTTTAGGTACCTCAAGCACCGGTCATCGTCCTCGTCGAACCCGTCGCTTGCGACGAAGGACTCGACGAGTAAATTAACCCATAGACACAATCCACTGAGTTTCTCGCCGCATCTTCTCAGTGATAGATTCTGAGAAGCACTGCTCTTTCTAGAGCCAGTGTTAGCAATGCTCCCTGTTTGAGACCCTATACTATACTCTATAGTTTGCTTTCTATGAAAAGAATGAGATGGCAAAAAAAGAAATTACAACGAACGCCTTTTCAACTATACGTTTTTTTTTATTGCTTAGATGGATGGACGAGCTCACAGTTTACCTGGTGTTAAGTGGTTACTGGAGCCCATAGACATCTACTACGTAAATGCGCCACCCGCTTTGAGATATAAGTCGTATACTTCGCAAGGACTGATCCATTTCAAACAAAATAATAGAAATAAACAACAGCTTTATAAATAAATTAATAAACAATCTCAAACCAAAGAATAATCTCGAACTTGTCCCTTAAAGCAAAAAGTAGGCAGATAATAAAACTTTCTCAGTTTCAAGTTAACATCTCTATGAAAATATTAAGAGGGTGACTCTTGGAAATATGTACTTTTTCCGTCTGTCCAGAGGGAGAGATGTTATTTTTCGTTTAGGTTACACAATATTCTCGGGAGTACAGGATCGGCGTAGGAGCGTTTAAGGAAAGGGCCTCATATTAATTTCTTATGAAATAATTTTACTGAAGAAAATTATGATACATTTTATATACTTAACACTACATCTAGACCAGCCACCTCGAGGTCAATTGTAGTTAGTAACTGTTCAGTTGGATTCTTGGGTTAACCAGCTCGTCACGGAGAAGCTGAAATTTGGGTCACCAGAGCTCTTCCATAGACATAATCCAGATTTAGAAATATGAAATATTTGAAATAGATCTCTGATTGTATATTGGGCCCAAGTCCCGAGGTAGATGAATGGTAGATGATGACCAGTGAAGCGATCAAACAAAGCTTCACTAGTGATAAATAAAACAAAAACGTAAAGCCAAACCAAACCAAAACCCCCTGAGTCCGATTCTGTAGTGAATATAAAAGCGTGGCAGATGTTCAAAAGAGGTATAAGATGTAATAGGTCCCAGGCGAAACAAAGATATTTTCAATCTCCAGTTTTTTTATGTTACTCGGGTATATTCAAAACCGAACCTTAGTGTTGTAGCGTTTTAGATCAAAAATGTCTTCACTTTTTTAGAATTTAATAAGTTACTTGATGTGATTTTTGGTAGCTATAGTTATTAATTATGATATTATACTGTAAAGAGCTAGCTAGCTAGTATTTTCATGACTTTTTTTTTTTTTTTTTTTTTTTTTTTTTTTTTTTTNTTTTTTTTTTTCGGGTAGAGGTCCGAACCTCCTACGAGGTCCCCGCGCAAAAGGGGCGCGCGGGGTATGTGAGACTCAACGATCTGCATGGTGTTGTGAGCAGACCGCGGGCCCAAGGATTTTAGGACCCACCCACTAAACGACTCCCCTGCACTCTTACACCCGACGTCCGATCCCCTCCGAGGTCAGAACCTGGATGAGGTAGGGGGGCAACCGCGGTCAATACTACAACCAGACGGCGCGGCTCACCCCAAGGACGCCCAGCCGACGGAGCCTTCGAGGCGAATCGAAGGCTCTGAAACGTCGGCCGTCTCGGTACGGCAGCCCGTCGGGCCGCCCAGACGGTGCCGCTGGTGTCCCGGAATACCCCGCTGGACCAGAACCAGCCTGCCGGGTCGGGACGCGATACACTGGCACTGCGCCGTCGGTTCCCTTCCGGCTATCTTGTGCAAGTACCGGCCGAAACATCCGTGGCCGGTAAGCATCTGCGTCAGCCGGAAGGTGAGGCATCCGCTTTCGCGGCCCACCCAGTCCGCGAGAACCGGGCGGACCGCCTCGACGGTACGGAGGCCGGCCGACGGGTCCGCCAAGCGGTGAGACCACGCCTCCTGCACGGTAGTATTTTCATGACTTAAATAACTGTTTTTTTTCTCTTTTGCGTTTCAATGTGTTCAATACCTTTGCAAATAGTAGAGCATAATATTATTATGCTCCTCTGAACTGCATATGTGGTACAAAATATAATAAATACAAGATGAAGGTCTTAAGTAAGATTGTAACGACGGGGTAACGCAAACCGGCCATCGCCTGAAACATGTCTTGTGAGATCCCTTGGATCCATTCTCGGCGCTTTTAAGCTCGTCAAACTCGTTAATTACGACCAAGAGTTCGACGACCGAACTAACCCATAGACACAATCCACTGAGTTTCCCGCGGATCTTCTTAATGGGTCGCGATTCCGATCCGGTGAAGGTAGATCTTGCGAAGCACTGCTCTTGCTAGGGCTAGTGTTGGCTAACTCTCTCACGTTGAACGCGTGAGCTCATCCGTCCGCGTGTGTCTGGCATAGCCCTCTAGGCTTCCAAAGTATAGGTAAAAAGAAAAGTACTACATAATGTACAATATGCCATCATTACTTTATCTAGCAAATACAAGATGACAATGATCGCGTGCCAGTAATCTTGATTGTTTCAGAATTTCATATCTGAGACTTTATCCCACTCTCCAAATAAGTCTTGTCTTTCCTAATTTTTGTGGAAGGACGCGTTATTTGTGGTTGGTCTAAATTGTTGAGCGATTACCTCATTGAACATTTGATTTTGGGTCCAAAAAGATTGAAAGATAGAACCACAGTTTTATTTCTCCAAAGGAAATTGAGACCTAAATCCTGGCGCTTAAAGTTGCGATCGGTTTCACCGCACATAAATCAGAACCCTAAAACTGACATCACAACAGAAAAGACGATAAAGATTACGAGTGTCGCAGTGCACCCTCGAGATTACTCATGATTGCTAACATGTTGTCATGTTGACGATGCTAATAAAAGAAACGCCGCCACAGAGTTGAGTCTTCCGAAATGAAATTGAACGGTTTGAAGTTGGAAAAGTTTTTCTGGTGAATTATCAAGGGAATATGATCTTCGCTTAATATTTTAAGATTCCTAGACTTCTTTGATTGGCTGATGCAACCAAGGCTTTGGTACCAATTCTGGGGTCTATACCTGCAAATTTCTGAACGATTTTGAAAGAGTTCAATTAGGTGACCGCATGGATACCACAGTTTTGCCCAGAAGTGACCTTGCGTCCGTTTCAGTTCCAAGGGTAGGATAGTCACAACGGAACTGATACTCTAACCTGATGTTTCAAGGTAGAATTTATATTACAACCTTCAAAACTTTCATGAATATTCTGTTAAACAGATATGTCTGAGCAAGTGTTACAGTATTCTTTTGACTGATCAAAGAACACACAATATCAACCAACCACAATACCAACAACTGCTCAAGGTTGAACTAATTTTAACCGTTCTATAAACAATAAAAGGAGTCTAGGTTAAATTTTGACCTTCAAAAGATTTAATCTCAAGGGTTGAATTTGGCCGTCGCTCGGATGACTTACGCCCAGTACGCAATATAAAACTGTTCGACCGCCGTAACTTTCCCGGAAGTATACGTTGGGACCGGGTCCATTGACCCGGAATCCTGCAAATAAAATGCTCGAACCAACATTGCGAGTGGATCGTAACTTACGTGTTTACCGCGATCCAGAACGCCGTTGATAGGAGCTGTGCTGAGCTCCAAGCTGAAACAAAGAAAACGTTGTATTAGAAGTGAATTGGGTATTTGTTTGTCATACATGGGCTGATGAGCTCGTAAGGTAAGAGCCGACAATCACATTCTTACTAGTAGCAGAGCATTTTGAGAGAGGTCAGGTACCACAACCCTGCCTATTCCTGCCGTGAAGCAGTAACGCGTTTCGGTTTGAAGCTTAGAGCTGACGTACTATAAAATTGAGTAAACTAAAAACATGGACACATAATGTGCGTAGACATTCAGAAGACTAATATTGTCATCATGATTGAAATATCCTTGCCGTCTTTATCAAATTAGCTGCTGTTGCGATCGTCCTTAAAGCCTCGAAAAGCAGTTCTCATTTTTATCCGAAAGCTAGGAGATGTTTTAGTATTACTGTGCTTAGTAACTTTTTGATGTCACTTAGCAAATTTTCTGACACGGTCATGCAAAATAAAACCGGCCAACGAAAGGGACGCAGTAAAGTAAAACAAAATGAAGCATGGAAGTACTGACGCAAGATTTGTCTATAAACCGTTGGGCGAGGCTCGGCAAATAACGCGGGCAAACATCCACGACCTTCACCCTGCAAATTGTGCGGATGTAGACTCAGACGTGTATGCGAGACACGGCCTTAGAGATACTGGATATACTTAATGATGTATCACAAATTTAGGTTTTATAGCCTCTTTTAGAATTTAATGGTATAGATCGAGCCACAGGAGCCCATAGATATCCTAATTTAATAATGCGCCCACCAAACAGTTTTTACAACTACTATTTTTTTTTTTTTTTTTTTTATTGCTTAGATGGGTGGACGAGCTCACAGCCCACCTGGTGTTAAGTGGTTACTGGAGCCCATAGACATCTACAACGTAAATGCGCCACCCACCTTGAGATATCAGTTCTAAGGTCTCAGTATAGTTACAACGGCTACCCCACCCTTCAAACCGAAACGCATTACTGCTTCACGGCAGAAATAGGCAGGGCGGTGGTACCTACCCGTGCGGACTCACAATAGGTCCTTCCACCAGTGGTTACGCAAATTATAATTTTGCGGGTTTGATTTTTATTACACGATGTTATTCCTTCACCGTGGAAGTCAATCGTGAACATTTGTTAAGTACATATTTCATTCGAAAAATTGGTACCCCGCCCGCGGGATTCGAACACCGGTGCATCGCAACAACGAATGCACCGGACGTCTTATCCTTAAGGCCACGACGACTTCAAACTTCAAGACTTCAAACTACTACCGAATGTTGCTGGTAATGTCGTAGCAGTAGCTTGAGAAGAAACGCAGACCCGTTCGTATCTTCAGCTATATGGTCAGATACCTCGACTAGGTATATGATGTAAACAGATTTCACAAATTAAAATTAAAATGAATACCAATTGATTTTACAATTACTTTCCTGTCTGGTCTCTGTATTGCGTTTTAAATAAGTTTAAAAACCACATTTTATTTATACAGATTAATCTTGAATATAGAGATCAGAGAGGGATTCATTGAAAATAAAAAATGAATGGGAGAATTATAGGGGCAATGTTATTACTAAAATATAAAATTGTAGTTGTCTATCACAAAGCATGGCTGATATTTTTGGAAATTCAGTAATGATATTCGATCTTTGCCTGTGTTGCAGTAAAACGAACCAGCTCATATTTTCAAATAAAAACTGCTGTAACCTTTATATAAATGGCTAAAATCGGTGTAATTTATAACTCTTACCGATGCAGTCACTATTATAATACTCAAGCGTCATACTCTTTCTCCCACATCCAGTAAAAATATATCTTTGTTAAGGTCCACATTTAACTATACCAAGTATTTGTATGGTCTTATTCAAAGTCTAGAATCGTGTTTATTCTCATTTTGATGTAATTGAACATTTTATCGTTAGACCTGTCTGATATTTATTGTTCTTTTGTATTGTTTTCTAAACGTCCCAGTGTCATTTATTTATTGAAGCATTCCACAGTTGATGTTGGTACTTGAGTGAAAAACTTCGATCAACAGCGCACTATAGTTCCAGCAAATGAATAGATTTCAATATTTTAATATTTTATATTTTATAATATTTTATATAATAGTATATAATATAATATATAATAATGTTTTTATACTTTATTATATGACACACATACACACACACAAACACACTAACACACATACACTCACACACACACACACGTACGTACTATATTCTTACAGATCGTTCTTCCTGTTTAACTTTCTTTACCTGGTGACCTAGCACTGAACCACTGACTTTTGTAACACAGGTTTTCCTAGCATAAAAGTCAGGGAATATTGTTATTGTATACCTCATAAAAAAGCCATGTATATTATTATACTAGTGTTAAGTATTTTTGTACGTGTTTGTATTTTAAGAGGCTTGAATGAATAAATATTATTATTATTATTATATGAGTCGTCTATTATCAAAGGTGGCAATCTGTGCATTTGGACAAAAAAATGTAATTGATATGTCAATACAGATTGATTTGAATATAATCATCTCCTTCAAAGAATACGATTCAAAACCTGCATTAAATAAAGGTTAATACTTAACCTGTTATTTATCTAAGATATCGTTCAGAAGAGTTTTGTGACTGCCAATGGAATACAAAGTCAATAATTCGTTTTTCTGATTTATCAATAATTGTCCAAAAGTCACATTGCCGGCTTTGATAATAGTCGACTCATATATACTAATATTATAAAAAAAAAAAAACCTATCGTTGTTACAAATGTTTGAAGTGTGATGATTAATCGAACCCGTAATATTTACAAATTCCCGTAATTTGTAATGGTATTGCGTAAAGTAAGCCAACAAGCTCCATGCGGGGTATTTCTGATGCGAAGCTGTCATGTATCCAAGTTTGACGGTTGCAATTACTTGCAATTACACTATAAAGGATTTGGTTCTTCAACCTCATGTTGCAAAATGGATGGTGGTAGTATCGTGATATCAATGGAGACCAATACACCTGGTGGGTTATCACCTTAACCTTACCATTTAACTAGTACAACAAAAAATGAAATCAGTGTGACTCGCTCAGTAGCATAAAAAGAATTGATCAGCAACTATAAATTTATTTTTAAACAATACAAGCTATTCATTCATTAATTTATAAGCAACTAGCGATCCGCCCTTGCATCGCTTATGGAATTGTAATTTATTATTGACTAGCGACCCGCCCTCGCTTCGCTTCGGAAACATTAAATTTTATTATTGATAGCTGAGTCCCGCTTTGCTACCCGCGGTTATTGTCGTACCGCGGGTGACGCCGCGTGGTGAAGCTAGTCTTAAAAAAAGTAGCCTAAGTTACTCCTTATATCATCAGCTATTTATCAGTGAAAGTCTCGTCAAAATCGGTCTAGCCGTTCCAGAGTTTAGCCGGAACAAACAAACAGACAGACAGACAGACAGAAAGACAGACAGACAGACAAAAATTGTAAAAAATGTTATTTTGGTGTATGTACCGTATATATATTCATATGCATGTAGTAAAAAGCGGTTATTTCAATATTACAAACAGACACTCCAATTTTATTTATATGTATAGATTATGAAAATAAGATGGCAGATTTTTTCCTACTTACTTGACACCTATCGTTATATTTTGGGTATTTCACACTATACCTTTATAAATTATAACCTATGTGTTATTCTGATGTGTAAGCTATATTATTAATGTAAAGTTTCATCAAAATCCATCCAGTGGTTTTTGCGTGAAAGACTAACAAAACTAACATCCATATATTCTAACAAACTTTCGCGTTTTTAATATCAGTAGCATTTAAAACAAGACCCAAACTAATAAAACTGTGTAGCTTCAGCAAACGACTTGATATATGATTTGGAAAAAACAAAAGCAATTTCTTTAATAGACACATTTACCTAGTCAAAGACTTTTGTTAATTCAGCTATGTCGTGACCGGTTACAGAATATTAGAAAGTAAAAGTTAGTTCACGATTAATAAGATTCGTGTCTTCGAATAACCGTTTCGCGTGATAGTCGAAGGAAACCTTCAAAAGATACCATTTTAATTCTTCGTGAAATCATTACTATTACCTAATTATTTTGTTGAAAATTTATTTATTTATTTATTCATTTGGGAAACAAACAGTACAATACAAACATATAATATTTAAAAAATTATAGGTAAAACAATAACCAAAAATGTTTCCACAATCAAAATCACATATAAGTAGAGAGTGAACAAGAAGGGAAATTAAGAAATTTAAATTATAAAAAAACAAAAGCAACACAATACGCACATATTATTTTATACATCAACTAGCGACCCGCCCTCGCTTCGCTTCGGAAACATTAAAACACACATGAAACCAAAAAAATAAAAAAAAAATAAAAAAAAGTAGCCTATGTTCATCAGGGACAATGTCGGCTTCTAATGGAAAAAGAATTTTTCAAATCGGTCCAGTAGTTTCGGAGCCTATTCGAAACAAACAAACAAACAAACAAATCTTTCCTCTTTATAATATTAGTATAGATTATACTACTTATCGGGCTAAATCACCTTATAAAAGTTTTAAAATAGCTTTTCTATATGCTACAAGTGACAAGCAAAAGATGTCAGCATTAGAGAACTCGAGAGAGTTCAGAATCCGGTGAATTCCTTAGTCGCCCACTAAGGGACTCTCTAGAGAATCCGCAGTGTATTATACCATCGTTCTATGATCGCTAATTGACATTTACTGGTGATAAGGGTATATTTGACCTCATCATCATTACTACGAAAACTACCGCAGTATGTGCTCGCAATGCTAATAGCCGCCTCCAATGGAGGAACATCGCTGGAGGTGCGGCGGCTTTGAAAACGAGCAGCGATGACGAGACGCTACCTTTTCCATCGACAGCCGCGACCACCTACTCTGCGAAGAGTATCCGACTAGGAAGAAGAAGAAGGGTATATTGGAAGTACGCGTGGGTAGGTTATTTAACAATAGCTAGTCTATACTTATACTTAATATTATAAAGAGGAAATACTTTTTTGTTTGTTTGTATTGTATAGGCTCCGAAAATACTGAACTGATTTGAAAAATTCTTTCACTGTTTGGAAGGTACACTATTCCCGAGTGACATAGGCTATAATCTTTTTTGAAATAATTAGGGATCCTTACTAAAACTCCAATAATGTAATTGAAGGTGTAAAAAAAATAACTTAAAATATTCTTTACATCGCGTGCCGTGCGAAAACTATTAATGATAGAATAAAATAATGTACTACGACTTTGTAAAACACATTATTAATTACAAAAAATGTCGCGACAGCAATATGTCTAACTATTAAAGTTATGCCGCAATAAGTGATCTTTTATTAAAAATAAATAAAACGACGTCAAATATCTTTGAAATTTTTGTTAAAGACCCGAGCGGATCCGGAGCGGGCCGCTTGTAATCAATATAGTGTTTGTGTTGGTTGTATTGTTGTCTTCTTATGTGGATACAGTTTTTTTATCTTAATTCTATTTTTATTTGTAATTTTTAATTTTTATTTGTAATTGGTAATTATTAAATTAATACGGGTTTGCTGAGTGCATATATGTCATTTAGATTGCAATCCAGATTAGATTTAGGTACTACTTGTACGATTTAATTAATATGTACTGTAAAGATTGTAATTTGTTTTGTGCATCAATAAATAAAAATAAAAGAAAACACCTCGTTTTTGAAGATGCAACTCTTTGTAATGTTCCATTAAGTTAACTTAATTCTGATTGTATTGAAGCTTTCTAGTATTTTTAAATACTACGTTTAATAGTGTGATATAATTAAATTTTGGCCTTGGATCACCATCAGCCCTGAGGCGTCCATTCCTGGTCATTGGCATGATCATTGCCAAAACGACTGATTTTGACCCTATCCAGTGAGTTTTAGTAACTTCCGTCAGGTCATCGCTCTACCTTCTTTGTAAAAGTTTTTTTTTTGCATTTACATTATATCGATTCTGTTTCAGAAAATGTTTCCAAAATCTTCGCTCACATTTTCGTTAAAAAATTGAATATTGTCCTGTCGTAGAACAAATTACTTACTTCGGCCACATCGCTCGTAGAGGCCCCGATAGCTTAGAGAAGCTGATGGTAGTTGGTCAGGTTGACGGGAGAAGATCACGCGGACGCTCACCTACCCGCTGGTCTGATCTGGTTAAGACGCTCACCGGCCTGCCAATAACCGAGGCTATAAAGACCACCGAGGCTTGAAGACGTGGGGAAGCATTGTGCATCGAGTGGTCCACATTTCAGATTAGACACGACCTTCAGCAATGAAGAGACCGACTCAGAAGAAGAAGAACAAATTTCATTCGTAGAACTAGTTTACACTCTTAGCGGTCGTTCTTCATTCACAACATAAATCATTTTCATGTTATATAAACACAATTCGGAAAAACTTTAAAGCTTATTCTACTCTATTTCTACTACAAAATTTTTGGAAGCTCACGTTTTCAAGTCGTGCTTTCATGTAAATAACAAGTCGGATACAAGGTCGTTTAGACGAGTCAATCTACTTTTAGATCGCCCCTTTTAAGGCGCTACGTTTTGTGTAATGCTCTATCTTTTGTCCCTGATGTAAGGAGAGACGTTCTGAATTTTAAGGTTCTATTTATAACTGTGTGCAAACCTGTATGTCTGCCTATAGCCTTATAGCTATCAATATATATTTTAGATAGCATTTTAGGCGCTATGGTTTTGTATAATATTCCGTCTTTTGTTAACCCTTTTTTATTTGTAAAATAGAACTGTGTGCTTGTCTGTCTATCTATTACATTATATCTACTGTAGGTGTGTGAATTGCGATATGGTTCAATTGGAAAAACAAAAAGGCTCCTAGCTGTTAACTACACAAAATACTAGTTGCTTAAATACGTATTGAAAGCCACAGGCATCAGTGCTGCCACCCACGACTTCCAAACCTTGAGATATAGAGTCGAAGCACAAATGATATTTTGTAATATCTGCTCCAGCCAGCTGTGCAGAACTTATGACAAGTTCGCGGCAGGAAGAGGTAGACTCTTATCCCATTGCGACGGGGTATGGCCACTCTATCACAAAGCGAGATTGTCAGCAACCTGACCGCAAGACGGTGTTAGCTTCGATTTCGATTAGCAGAGTATTTATTAGTCGGTAGGTAGGTGGTGCAATAAATCCCCTTGTCGTGGCCGCCGGAAATAGCATAGCCGATTCTCTGGATCGAATGCTAAACAATCGACATCGCCCAAAACATGTCTTGTCAGATCCCCCGGATTCACTCTCGGTGCTTTTAGGCCTCTCAAGCACCGGTCACTATCCTCGTCGAACTCGTCGATTACGACGAAGATTTCGACGAGCAGGCTAACCCTTAGACACGACCCACTGAGTTTCTCGCCGGATCTTTTCAGTGGGTCGTAGTTCCGATCCAGTGTTAGATTCTGGGAAGCACTGCTCTTGCTAGGGCTAGCAAATTCTCTCAGGTTGAGCCCGTGAGCTCACCTGCCCATTTGGGCGTAACGTAATAGCCCATTAGGCTACCAGCAAATAGGTACGCAAAAAACAATTGGGTAGACTGTTTCTATTAACTCGTGTGGGCACAATCACAATCTACTTTAGTATTTTCTCACATATTATTTCACCGTCGAAGACCCATTAGTTATTTATTTAGAAACATTGATATCTGCCAACGCAATTTTGAGCCCCGGCATAACCTCATCACTTAATATGAATACAGCAGACATTTTACCTATTTTACGCCACGACGATTTCATTGAAGAATAGTTGATTCACAGCAGAAATAGTGTCAAACGTGCCCAAAATATATAAGAAGTGAATTTATGATTTCGTAGTTTCTCCTCCACGATGCTTTTTCTTTTGGAGCTGTTTGTGAGTACATTTTAGGTATTTTATTTATATAAAATTTTATAACACTATAATCACACCAAAGTAACTCATAACTCATAGTTCAACATAACAAAAGGCTGTTTATGAGTACATTTTAGGTAGGTATTTTATTTATATAAAACTTTATAGCACTACAATCACACCAAAGTAACTCATAACTCATAATTCAACATAACAAAAGAACTTTTTTAATAAGATTGTAACCCGAACTGTCTAGTACATATTACCAATATTACATACAAACGAACCCCTTTTACCATCAATGATTGGGGTGTACCCACAAAGCAAACTATGCAATATACCACTACTATTGCCAAGCAATATTTCCTAACCAAATCTTAATTCCAAACAAAAAAGCCGGTTTTATGTTTCAAACAATGAAACTCGCGACATGGGCCGTGGTGTTTATGGTGCGTTGCTATGACAACCACGACTGAAACTCAACGTGCGTGTGATGATGCCCTCAATACTTCCCTTTTGCGTGACCTTCCAGCCCTTATTTAGGGCAGTAAGTCTACCTCTTATATACATACGTACGCTGTATTAGGCGGATAAAATAATCCACTCTCAAAGAGATTTGCTTGCGCCGTTTAATTGGACGTATGGTGTTCCATAATTGCAAAATCAATTGGCGTCATTTCGAAGAGTACCTATAAATAGTACGGGTGCCAATACACGTCTTGGCGGAGTTTTTGTAAGACCATCGTTTTTGTAAGACAGAAATGAAATACCAAATAATAATAAACTACAAATATAGGAATCAAACCGAGATGACAGTACCAGTATTTCATTACTCATGTATATTCTTGCAAGTCCTTGTCTCCTTCATTGGCTTTGGTAAGGTTTACGACATTACGGATACACAAAGACTGCAGTAAAGAGATTTATTGCCTATTGTAGTTGCTAATGGATTCGGGTCCTTCATCCGATGGATGCTGAGGTTAAAACAATACATAGCGTCTTTGTTAAAACAATATTTGCTAAGTGCACTTTTTGGATTTTTTCTACATTCTTCTTCTTCTTCTTTTTTGTATCCACCGACACTCAGTACTGGACATAGGCCTCTCTAAGCCTCACCATAATACCTGGTCTTCTGGTCTGGTCTATTTGCCAGTCTGCAACGCAATATCTACGTATTACTTAGGAAATTACAATAATCCCATTTGATCAGCGTCCCTTTTACGCACCGTTTGTTTTTTCACAGTCCTACAATGAACTGGATCCAAAATTATTTTAAATTCCATTACATGTCAAATCATACATTCAAAGCCCGCTAATTGGGAGTTGCAGAGTTTGATTCGCTCTACACTCACTGTATATTCGACTGTTCAAAGTTTAATGCGATTCTCTGCCAGTGAATCTAACTTTGTCTTTCCATTGTGATAGAATGGTTAAACAGTTATGAGCTGCAGTCTCTGAACTTCTGTAATATTTAATATTTAATTTACCAGAGGATTATTACACACAAAAAGGAACCGTCCATCCATGAAAACTGACAAGGTAATGGGGTTAAAAAATTTAATATGGATTTTATGTATCTGCATTGGATTGTTAAATTGAAATTTATATGCTTATTGCAAATAAAAAATTGTAAAAAACTTCAACTTCATTTAGTAAATTTGTTTTATGAAACATGAATCAATCAAATAGTTCGTAGAAGCTATGAAAAAACAAAACCCTAAGGTTTTAAACTTGCAAATTCAGGCCAACGAATGACTTCTTTATAAAATTCTAATGGGTCCATTTTTCGACTGATAGAGATTGGTCGTTAAATTGATGGCAATTAGTTACATTTTCGGCTGTGTCATGGTAATTATATGAGCCTTTTTGAAAAAAATCTGTCAGGTTATTTATAATTTGAAGTTATGTAGCTAGCACCGGTAGCAAAGGATCATAAGGATGAAAAATCGCTATCTTGGACTCGGCTAAGTAGATATGACTAAGTAGATATGGCTCTGGCTAAGTAGATATGACTCTGCGCATGTTTACCGTGCCATATATAGTACCTCATCTTGCATTCAATGAAGACTTTCATAGCCTCTTCAATAATAATTAACTAATAACCTCTCCACTCGACTACGCAGAATAAAATCAACAAGCTAAATGAAATTCAAATTAGTGCTAAGTTCGTTATGGTTATATCAGAGATAACGGCGGGTGAACATTATGTTTTAGTGTATTATGATTATGATAATGTACACACACACTCGTTATGTTACTTGAGGTCGTACGTATAACACTTTATTAAATAGTGTCTTTTGTGAGATGAATATAGATTTGGCAATTGTTTTATATTTAGGTAGATGAGGTTTCGGGCTATGTGACGGCAAGAGGCAACTTTACAAAAAAAAGAGTTGCTAATCAAAGCTAGAAGATCATTGTTTCACGACAAAAATAGGAAAACGTGCGCATATTAACAGCAATGCGTCCTACAACCCGTAATGTTAGGTATGGTGGGCAGGAAAAATTTAGGGAGGAGAAGATTACTAGGGAGAAACTTACCGTAGGCAGCGGCTCGGCCCTGCCCCTGGCATTGCTAAAGTCCATGGGCGACGGTAACCACTCACCATCAGGTGGGCCGTATGCTCGTCTGTCTACACGGGCAATAAAAAAAAAACTTTGCAAAATCATTTCTCTCTCTCTCTCAGGTAAAAAAGGAAAATTAACTCTCATATTGAAAAAAATAGAACAATTTTCGTTAATAAACTGCAATATTCAATCATCATATTTTAACTGCTCTGTCAAATGTGGCTGTAGCTGTGTAGAGCCGGCCACTATCCTGCCTATTAGGGTCGCGTAGCAGTAATTCCTTCCGGTTTGAAGGGTAGCGCAGCCGTTGTACTGTAGAATTGAAAGTTAGGGTCCATGACTCAAAGTGAGTGACCGTGTTTACGTTGTTGATGTTTATGGAATCCGCCAACTTAGCATCAAGTGGGCTGTGAACTCGTATCATGGCTTCCGTTTGCGCGAAATAAAGTGTAGTCCACGCAGACGAAGCTGCGATACGAAAGTTAGTAGGCGTTTTTTTTTTTTTTATTGCTCTTGTAGGTAGACGAGCTTACGGCCCACCGGATGGTGAGTGGTTCCCGTCGCCCATGGGCTTCAGTAGTGCCAGGGGCAGAGCCAAGCCGCTATCGTTAGGTACTCTCCACAAGCCTCGTTTGAAGAAGGACATGTCATAGCGCTTGGCAAACACCATGGGAGCTTATTCCAAAGCCGGATGGTACGTGGCAGAAAATATCTCTGAAAAGGCACTGTGGATGAACGCAGTGGCTCCAGCCGTTAACGCAGTCAAGATCAATTTGCAATAATGTGTTCGGAGCACTAAGACTTGAAGTGCATCGTAACGTTAGCGTAGAAGAGATAAAAGCTTTTAGTTTCCAATAAAATGAAACGTACAATCTATTCGCTCACAAATAGTCGAAGCCACTAGTGACTTTTGGCACTTTAAGCAAATTCGCTCATAATCTTGCTTATAATATATAAGCTTTTGCTTGCGACTTCGTCCGCGTGGGATAGTTCCTTTGGCATAACGCTAAATTTTACCCGCGACTTCATTTACAGTACTCATGATTGGAACTTCATTACTGAACCGGTACATGGCGTTGAAGAAGCTACATTTTGAGATTTTTTGACAAATATGTTTTTTAATTTTTCATAAAAAAAAATTTTTTTTATTTCTTATTAAAAAGTATCCTATGTTACTTCTAATACTTCCAAAAATATGTGTACAAAGTTTCATGATGATCGGTTGATTAGTTTTCGCGTGAAAGCGTAACAAACAAACTTACATTCACATTTATATCTTTTTTTTTTTTTTTTTTTTTTTTTTTTTTTTTTTTTTTTTTTTTTTTTTTTTTTTTAAATAAATATTTACTAACGATCACGCCACGTTAACTAGTCCCGTGATAAGTAAATGTAAGATTTTTATTATACACATACATATATTTAATATACATCCATAACCCTGGAAAAGACATTTATATTTATCATACAAATATCTTCCCTTGGCGGGATTCGAACCCGCGACCCCCTTATGTAGTGACCATGTCACTTACCACTACACCAGACGGCCGTTATTATATATTAGTAGGGATTATGTACCATAAAGTATGCGATTCAATCGTGCTAAGAAAGATGAATGCAATCAAACTTACGATATGCGCCGTGTGACTCAAATAATGTGTTTTGTCTTGTCTTGTAACAATGGAAATAACCGATCTAATATTTGAAAAGATGCTTTATGAGATCGTATGTCTAACATATTGTTGTGTTATGAACACTATTATTTAACGAGTAAGCAAGCCTTGATACTGTACAGAGCCCTAAACTGGTGGGAGGACGTCTCTTGTCAGTCCGTACCACCACCTAACGTATTTCTGCCGTGAAGCAGTAATGCGTTTCGGTTTTGAAGGATGGGGTAACCGTTGTAACTATATTGAGAACTTAGAACTTATGTCTCAAGGTGGGTGGCGCATTTACGTTGTGGATGTCTATGGGCTCCAGTAACCACTTAACACCAGGTGGGCTGTGAGCTCGTCCACCCATCAAAGCAATAAAATAAAAAAAAACTTTAACAATAGCATAAATACCAAGTGATCCCTTTTACTGAAGTAATAATCTACTAGAAGTAGTAATAATCTACTCGATGAACTAATTAAGGTTCTGTAGCATTACGAGTCGTTTAAAAATAAATAAGGTAATTTTCTAATGCTTTAGTCTTTTTCCTCATTCAAGATACTTCAGAAGCTGTCGAGACGAAGGCTCACCTCAAATGAGATTATGACGTTTTCTCTCGAATTTTTTTTGTGTCACAATTTTTTTGGCATTTGATCTAAGTAATGTAATAGGATAAGAGCTCAGAGTGTCTGTCGGGAT